TTCACCTGTCTAAGATGTCCTTAGCACAGAGGTGGGTATGCCTGTGCTAAGGAAGAGCACAGACCTCAGGTTTTTTGTGGAATGTTTGAAAAGTCTCCTTACCTGCCCTTGATTTTTGACACACGGTGTGAATGAGACATGAACATAAACTCAATTACAAGGTTGAATTTAGTTCTAAAATGCTGTGCTGGACATTATTGAGGACTGCATGAGTGCAATGTTAGACTGCAGAGACAGTATCCAGCATCCAGCAGAATTAAAGCTTGTGTTTTTTACGGGGAGGGTGATATCATAAATTATCTTTTATGTTTCAGGTGTAATTTGCTAGAGTGATTTCTGCATCTGTTATTTTTATTTGCAAGTTTGCTTTGGGAGGCTCTCAACTGAAATAATTTTTATCATTATTATTTGCTTGGGCAGATGGGATTCACACACTTGGAATGTGAAGTTTCAGACTTCTTTTTAACACTTGTTCTTTTATATATGTATAGTTCAGAGTATCACTAGATGCCTAAAAACAGATTAATCCCCATGTTGGCATGATTATTTAAAGTAGAGAGAGGAAAGAGGTCTTAATGGTAACAGAGAGGAAAGCAATGCCATTTTTAGCGAGAGATTGGATTAAAAGGGAAATGGAAGGGTTAGAGTTAACAGTGATATGTGAGAAAGGCTGAAAGGGAAATAGAGATATTCTTATGGGGAGACTGAGATATGGTCCAGAAATCTAAGAGAAGTAATTTAAGATGAGAAAGGGGGCAAAGGGGAAGAGTTCAGTGACCGCATACGGCTGATTATAAATGTAGAAAATGGATAAAGAGTTTGCTGAAACTCAGTTGAAAGGTCAGTGTCTGTCAGGAAAGGATACAGTGCCCTTACACAGGAAAAATATCTGAATCTACAAGATGTTGTTTTCATGACAATGTTTTGCTGAGAAGAAAAGGGAATAAATGGTAATATAAAATTTTCACAGATTTCCATAGTGGTTTGCCAACAAGTAGCAACGCTTATACAAAAGAGCAAAGCACTGTGTTTTAAGTTTGTTTGTTTGTTTGTTTTTTCTGGAATGTGCTATGTTTTGTTATTTAATACATTCTCAAACTAAAGAAAGATCCCCTGATTCATAGCTTCAGACTATAGATAAAATATACATTTTTATAATGATAAATCACTGAAATTTTAGAAACTGTGCTATTGTACAATTGGTGACCTCTTAATGCTTGCTACTGTTCAGATTCCATTACAATATTTGGACATGAAAATCTAGCTATGTTATTCTATAAAAATGTTTTGATCTATCCAGAGCTTTAAAGAACTCCAGTGTAATCTGGAGTCTCAAACCTGCATTAAACTGGCCTAATTTTATTAGTCCTTATTAGTCTTTCACACTTATTATATTAAAAAAAATTAAATACCTGGTCCATTTGATCTTAGTATTTCATCACTCAATCACAAGGTGTCCTGTGTTCTTTCCCAGAAGTTTTATCTGAAACAGGAAAGGAAAAGAGAAAGAAAACAAAAGGAAGCTATTAAATAAATTATCGACTATCAAAAATTATTACTATATCATACTGATTAAATTACAAAAGTTCTGAAAATTCTGAGATTATCAGCTTTAACTTTTCTACTTGAGGGCAACCTTTTGTACCTCCAAATAATGCAAAATTAAATAATATTTAATAAATTAAATAATCTTTAAAGAATGTATTCTTAAATAAAATATAAATAATATTTAAAAGAATATATTCCTCAGGCTAATCTGTTGATGAGCTTACTGGCTGCATAAATTATTCCATTCCTAGCTTTTGGCATAGATGTGACAGCCAGTTATACTTCCAGAAAATTAGAGAGAGAGGTGTTAAAATTCAAGTTGTCACTAAGATCTGAAGACTGAAAATGAGAGTACCGAAAGCAATCCTAACGCTAACCCTTTCAAGATGATATGGTACATATGCGAGATTTCATGCTGGTCTTTCAAATAGAACTAAGAGAATTGATTTACTATCAACTTGTTCAACATGAATTAAACAAACATGTCAGCAGACTAACACCACTCATGCTGTAAATAGTACGTCCTTCTGTTAATACAGGTAGAGAGGGGTTGCTCAGCGTAATTTATGGTCTCCATATAGTACGATATTGAAAGAGTACAGAAACTGTTGTAAATTCCTGATGAAATGCAAACATAAGTCTGTTTACTATTAAATGTGATTTACTGCAGTTACATGTGTGCTCTCCCCCCGCCCCTTGTATTTTTTGTAGAAGGTACAGGGGTTTTAGACAAATAACAGATAAGCTTTTTATTCGGAGTTCATGCAGAATAACTTGTATATAGGATTATCACCTATATTTTTAGATCTTCTTTTAAGCTATATAGTCTCTTTTTTATATATTTTAAGAATACTAAATTAAGGTTTGAAATGAAGATGCAAATTGCAAGGAAATTGTAATAAAATAACACTTCAAAACTCAAAATGGTGTAAATCTATCAGCTATTTTATATAATAGATGCCAGGAAGACCTGCTATGCAGGTTATGCCACCACCATATTTCTCCACAGGTAAACACTTAAATATAGATGATTTTGTGACAGTACTGAGATAAACAGAATCACATTTTATCACATAGAATAGGAAATCTGTAGCCTATACTAATGATAATGATTGTGATATTTTTTTGTGTACTTGTGTATAATGCATTTTTTAAAAAAAACGCTATTTTCATGTAAAGCAGAATTGGACAGCCTGATTACCAGAAAATGCTCTCAACTGCTTGCATATATTATTCTACTCATCTGCATACCTTTCAGAACAGTTGAGCAGTCACTTTGCTCAGACATAAACCTGATTTGTAGTAACTTTTAGAAGCCAGCTCTTTGCTGTCTTTAAATCTTAGTTTTACCTAGTGATTTACATAATTTATGTCCAAAAGTGTCAATGTGTGAAAAGTTAAGAAATTTTAAAAAATGCCTTTGATAAAATCATTCCTATTGAACACTGATGTTTGTAATGAAGTTGGAGCTTCTTCTTCAGCGCTTTCATTTTCAAACTCCCTGCCTACCCTTCCCTACCCTGATGGGTTTTATGATTTTGGAGTGTAGCATGCTCAGTAGAAATCCAAATATCTGCTTGGCCAGAATGGTTTTATTAGCTCTGTTTTCATGAACTCCTTTCAGATAGCTTAGACATGTAAAGTGAGCGTTGCTCAGTTTAGTAGGTTTTTTATTTGCACAGTATTGTAACGTGCACTTTTTATAATCTACATAGAATTACTTGTTGGAGTGCAGTTTTGTTCTGTCTTGTGCTCTCCTTTTTAATGACACGTACATATTGTATCTGTTAGATACTGGCTTACTTAGCATCTCTTCCTGGTTTCAGATTCGGTTTGTCCTTCCTCCACTGCCCCTCTTCTGTATTGGGCTTGGATAGAAATTAAAAAGTTTATTTTGGGAGCTTCACCTACAGCTTGTTTTTTCAAGTCTTCATTGAAGTTTGCTCTTTAATTGATTCCTTCAGATATTTTATGCTTCCTTCAAGCAGCTGACACATAGAAGTGGATGCCTGGATCCCTAGTAATATTGAATGAAATTCTGGCTATGAACCTCTCGCTATTAGATTGACACTGCCAGTTTAGACACTGTTGATTTTCATTCCTTCTAATCCAACCAATGGGAATTGTGTGTTGTTATACTGACAACTTTAAGCTGTATTTCAATGTTAAATCATTATCCAGAGTTCCACCTGCATTTGATTGCTGCGGCAATGTAGTAATAAAGACATTTCTCAGTATTTGTGTACCTCAACTTCATCCTATTATCCTATTTGGATAACAAATAGCTGGCCTCTTAGGAAGAACATTGAGGACACTAGACATACAATGGAAAGTGTGAACTCTCATCCTGCCTACTTGTTAGACTGTCTCAACTCATGATGGGGGCTGAGAAATTAAGAGTAGCTTTCACTCAGTTTTAGGAACTCTGATATCTAGATTCAAGAATCTAGAAAAGCAACTCCCCATCACCAGCTTTCTAGGAAATAATCAGAAATAATATTATTTAATTAATAACCCTTTTAAGAACAGCTGCTTAGAACCAGCACTGCAGAATAATGACATCTAAAATTATTTTTGCAGATCTGCCCACTCCTGTCACAAAACTCTTGCTTTGCAGCTTTGCTTGTTCCACTTCTGCACCCAATAAAGTTGCTATAATCTAACTTCCTTCCAACTTCTGAAACATTTTAATTTTGAATAGATTGTTCTATGCACGTTGCTTTTCCCATGCAAGTTAAAACTCTTACCTCTTTTTAGAGATGTAGATATTTGATTTTGCATTCTTTTTAACAAAGAGAAATCCTGACCCTTTTTTTATGTAGAGATGATGTCAATCCATACCAGACTGGTGGAAGTCCTTTCACGTCCCCATTGGAATGTAAAATGTATTATTTTCCTTCAAAGTATTTTTGCACACACATACATTTTTTGACCAATATATCCGATTGACTATATGAAAGAGTAAAAGTGTATCAAAGCATTCCAAATTATGTAGTTGTAAATTTTACAATATAGCCTGTAATGCTAAATAAAAAGCATAGTTGGCATTTCCACTTTCCTACTAATAACCTTCAGTAGACATTATTTTATATTATTCTTTAGGAATGCTAACAAGAAATAAAATAAAAGGTGAATATATTGGAATGTGAGTAGTTGCTGCTGTCCTTGAAACATAGTCCTTATCCTTGGGCAACGTACAGGATCTCCACTGTTTTGGTTAGTTATTAATTGTACTTGCTTTGCTAGTTTCGTTCCAGAGACAGAAATATCACTGGGTCATGAAATACTAAGTATAACTCTTTCTATTTCAAATGACATATGCAACAGGTATGAGAAAATGTCTGTAGTCTTCCCTTCATAGAAGTGCTTTCTCTTAATCACCTTTTCCCCTTTTAAGAACCCTGGTAATGAAGCTGAATTGTAGTTCCTTTCTTTAGGCAGATGATTAAACATTCTCACCATTACATAATACAATTTCCATTTTATTTTAAACATACTTTGCATGATATAAAAATATTGATCACAGTGAGCTTTAACAATTGTTACTGCTATAAACAGAAATGCTGCACAATGGTTTTAGTGGAAATAAATTATATAGTCATTATCTCTTTAAAAAAAAAAAATCACAAGAAGAAGAACCTAGGCTGTTTGGTCATTGGCAGAAAATAAGTCCTTAGTGAGTTCTTTACAAAATATGAACCCCAGTTATTTTCTACATTTGCTTTCCACATCTTGAGAAAAGCACAATGCGTCTGTCTCTGAAAGCCCCACAGGGTCTCTGGTGAACATTTAATTCCAAATATTAGCAAAGTTTCTGTTGCTCTTTTGTTCTAATGGAAAAATGTACACCAAAATAGCAAGTAGTGCTCTCTTCACTAGTTCATAAGTGGTCTTTTCCAATATGTGGGTACACAGCGGCACACTTCTTCACTAAAATAAAATCCAGCATCACAGCGTTTCGTTCGGACTGTACACGGCGGTCTGTAACAACTAAAGAAATGAAAAAAAGTGGGCATTAAGATAACATGATCAGTTCTATTAACCTAGAGTAGACATCTGTGTGCATTTAGATTGCCAACTTCTCAATGGGTGATTTAATTCCTACGAATACATATCTTTGAACTTCTGTTTATGTTCTTCCAACTACTTTTAATTGGACTATTCTTCACAAAAGACAATGAAGGAATAATGAAAGCTATTGAAGAGAAACTATTCCATTGTAACAGATACTCATGAATATTTTTAACATATTGCCCGGTTGTAGTTGCATTCCAGTCTTGAGTAGTACTTCTCTAAATTTAATCTTAAAAATACAATAATATTTTTCTGTACTCAAATTGGCTTGTTATGACCTACTGCATGCTGCCAGTTTGAGGTGGCAATCCAGAATCAAGTGATAATCAGATCTACCATCTTCTTACCCAGGACTGTTTCTCACCTGATTCACTACTGCAATAAGCCCCAGAGAGATTTGTCTACGTACGTTACACTGGGACTCTGACCTTGAAAATGAGCACATACTTCCTTTCAAGTTGCAGACTCCTATAGCCACTCTCTGAGGCCAGTGGGGATATATCTAACACTTCGTATTGCATCTATGTGCATTCTGAAGTAAGATCAGAGCTTGCATGTTTATGATAAATCTTAAAGGAAAAAACAGAAACAGTCCTTATTTGATTAAAATAAGTTTAACAGAAATAGAGCATTAAACCACAAGTCACATCTACCTAAGAAGCAGCGGAATTTTCTTCACAGATTCCTTGACTGAAAAATAGAACTTATACAGTGATAATATCTGTGGTTGTCCCTGAACTCTTCCTTTTCCTATTTTATTTTTCTATTAAAACAAGAACTTGACCTAAAATAACCTTACAATAACAATGCTAAATACTTTCTGGTGTATAATGGAGACAAAGTACAAGTCTGGGTTTTTTTTCAGATGCTGGCAATGAGTCAAAAGACAAAATATATGTTTCGAATTTCAACACAGTTATACTTAAAACTTTTATTTAAATAACGTGTGCCTGTTTGTGAAACACTGATATTATGATCTATTGCTATAATTCATACTTACTTCAGTTCAAAGACACTGCAGCACGCTATATTAAGGCAATGCCACGATCCTCTTCCCTAGGCAATTCTTGTTTCAGGCTTGTGGCTACTCTTACTATTGTTGCAGACAAGTTAATATGTTGTGTGCTTGTTTTGGATACCAAGTTACTACTTTGCAATAATTTGTTTATGATATGAGGTCTGGATTACACTTACATTAATTCAAGCCAGCTAGTTCAACCAATGAACCTGGCTATGAGGAAAGCAATAAGGAATGAGGAAGACTGCAAACATGACATTTATTAACTAGTCACATCTTGTTCAGCGCTTTCAATGTCATTAATCATAGATTATTTCACCAGCGTGGTCTCTGTAATTAAGGGAGTAACATTATTTTGTGCCACTTAATATATTTGAAATCAGTGTAACAGCTCATGGGAATCTCTCAAAGCCCTACCAATCTTTTGCCCAATAAAGTCTGGAAACAGTGGTAAAAGGAAAAAAAAATAAATCACAATGTCACTTGAGAAACAAAACAAGTGAACTTTACTGTCTTGCATGTTTGCCAAAGGATCTAATACTCTGAGCAAACAGGCTACCAGCAGTAGGTTTGTTCTGGGCAAAAGGTACTCCATAGAGATGCAACGGATGAAACACTGAACTCACTTGCCTTTTTGCCCATCTCTGCCATGAAAGTTAGACTATTTCATGTACTGAATGACTGTAGAATGAAATAGGAGAAAGATAAGGAAAAAAAAAAAGACAAAGCCAAACTCTTCCACCCACCTATGACATGTTGCACAAAACAAAAAGCAGTCATGTAATCATTAAATATGAGGAGTTCACTTTGTTTAGGATTCTTGCCTCCTAGTGAACTGCGAACTTCAGCTTAACTTGCAGTCGACAGCGCTATAAGGCATCTCTCCCATGTGAGTTTGTGTCTAGCAGCAGTCAAGGTCGGGTTACTGCAGTCTTAGCCTTATTTGGGACATTTCAACAGAGCAAGAAAGCCCCTCTCCTCCTCTATAATGCTTTGCAGCTGAGGTGGCTACTTATCTGGCCCTGCCAAAACTGACCAAAATAAACTTTTGAGGCGATAGCACAGGGTGAATAGTAGCAGAGTCATTGTAACTATATAAATGTGGTTTCCTTAGGAAACTCTGCTGAACAATAGACCAGGTCTTTTAAAAGATTTAGGCTGGGTGTTGTTTATGGAGTGCTTTCATGTGACAGATGTCTGTTTTGATGAGGACAATCTGAGCGTGCTGGAGCTAAGATAGATGTGCAGTCAATATGTATAGTGCTCGGTGAGTCAGTGGCAGCTTTCTCTTTATGGTCAGTAATTGTGATTTTTGCTACCAAATGCTCAGGTTTGAGATTTTGGAGAGTCAAACATCTGCAAAGATGAAACTCAAGTAGGAATGCTATTTTTAGTGGTGGTAACAGCATGATCACCTTAAAAGCCAGTATGCTTTACGGTGGTGTTTTGTAGGGTTTTTTTGTTTTTTTTGTTTTTTTTTCTTTCTTCTTCCTATCCTGTTCTTTCTAAATGACTTTTTATTCCTGTCCTCTGGAGTAGGGTCTAACATAAGAGGTGGAAGCATTTTAGGTACAGTGCATAAAAATGCAGGTGCTTCAAAACCAGAACCTGCAAGGACTAACGGTCTGCATGGGGAGCTGTCTAGGACACGGCTACAGGGGTCTGCTCATGTCTAGATCTCAGGCATCTTGCACAAAGCTATAGAGTGGTACTTTCATTTACGTGGTTTCATAACAGCAAGGGATCTTTTTTTCAAAAGACAAACAGGATGTTGCAGGGTTTTTATTCCTTTTATGGATAGCTTGTGGACACACCAAAAATGTGAGAAACCTCTGCTGAGTGTTTTCTTAAGAAGCAAAGATTGCATCTTGTTTTCCTTAAGAGTGCTACTATCTGCAGGGCTACTGGTTGTAGAGCTATAGAGTAACACCATATACAAATCTTTCTCTCTTTCTCCGCACAAAGATGAACTGCTTAGAAAAGAGAAATAGCTAAAAGCATCCTGTATCACTGTCCTTGGATGTGAGAAATGGATTCAAACTCTTTATTGTATTCAACCACAACAAAAGCTGAGCTCAATTCCTTCCTTCAAATACTAAGTCTTTAAATCAATAGAGGTGGCATCAGATACCTGTTATGGCATTTCTTAGCATTTTAAATGCCTGACTTTTCCAGCTGTGAATGTTCTTTTAAAATACACGTAGTTTAGATGTGGAGCACTGCTGGAAGTGCACACTTGAGTAGTGCTAAGGCTTTGTAACGTGCTACAGCTCATGTAATAAGGTTGGTTTTTTTTCCCTCTGCAATCATAAAATTGAAATAAAAACTGAACAATAGAGAAGAAATGATTTCTTATGTTTCTAACAACTCTTCTATTCCACTCAAAAGGCCAAACATAGGAAAACAGGTAATGTCAGTTATTATTAATTTTAGAGACTTCAACACAGGTCTCATTCCTAATATTAGACATTTGTTCTTTATTCAAGACAAACTAATATATATATATGGCAATATATTTATGCCAACTAATTACATGTTATATTAAAAAAAATACATGAGTTTTACTTTTTGTAGGCAATTAATTACCACCCAATTTTCTATTTTCCATTTCCAGTGCCTGAACATTTCTGGAATTGTTATTTGTGATTAATATAATAGAAATAATTCCCATATATTAATAAATAAGTGATCTTTCTGCTCCAAATGGGGTTGTTTCTGTTGTAACAAATTAACTTTACAGGAAAACTTTCCTCACAAAATATACAAAGCAGAAATAATATTGTTTGTTTCTCAGAAACTGAAGTCATTCACATTTTTATATATAGACTGCTACCACTGGGTGTAGCAGTCGTGGAAGGAAAAGGTCCTGTGATATATAAAGAAATTGCAGAGTTTTCTTCCTGACCAAATCCCATTTTAAATGATGAATGTGGGCGGTCTGTTTTATAGTTCTATGTTTCTACTTTTCACAGAAATCACCCAGAGCTATAAGACTTTTTATGCACTCATAAATCTTTAGTATCAGTTGAGTGAAATTAAGGATATGCAAAAATTTAGGAAGTGAAAATGAATGATAGTATCCTCCAGAACTAATTCCTGAAATCTAATTAGAAATAAAATATTTGAGTTATTTGAATTGCAATATTCAGTTCTTGGAAAAAATAGAGTGGGATTTTAAGTAGCATAAAAAACCAAGGAGCTTGAATTTACATCTCATTTTCATCAAAGGAAAAAAAAATAAATCACATGAAGTAGTAGTAAGAGTACTAGAAACTAAACATGCTTTAAAATACTCTTTCTGCCTAGTAGTTTCCTCTTAGAGATGATAAAAGTCATAGAAGATAAAACTGAAGAGAGGCTTACTATTTACTTAAGGCTAAAAGCAATCCAACAAGACAGCTAATGACACAACCCAAAACTTTATACCTTAAACACAATGAAAGGGCTAAAGACCAAGTTTTTACCTGCATGTCTGGTGATGGAACCTTTTTCCTTTTAAGAAGCATTTATTGGGAGATTCTATACATTCACAGGTGCATTTTGCAGGATTTAGTGGCTGATGTTTAGGACAGGTCTTTTTACATACACACTGGCACTTATCTTCATCAAATTCCTTGTTGGGCCCACAGGAAGCAGGGAGAAGTTTGTTTTTGCACATGCACTGACACGATGATCTGTCTAATTCTTTGTGAGGTCCACAGCTTGAGGGCCGCACGCCTCCTTTGCAGACGCATTGACAGGTTTCTTCATCCAGCTCCTTGTTTGGTCCACAAATATGGAATCCTTCAGATGTGTCTAGAAATACAGCAGAGAAGTTGCACAATTATCAGAATTTTGTCTCTACCCATCCCGTATTTTTAAGGGAAGAAATGGTATCGAATTCATACATTTTAAGGTGTTTTAAGAACAAACATATGCCAAAAGACAGGCAACAATCAGTAACAGTATGAATAAATATTCAACTATTTACTTTTCAGGTTTTTAATTTCTCCTTTAGGTAAATCAAGACATGGAACTACATTTAATCTTTTAAGCAAAAATGCTTACCAGAATCTCCAAGGTGAGAAGAGAAACCAAAATCGTGCTGTGCCAAACATCTGCAAATTTGATTATTCCAGATATGATTTTTCGGACAGGTCTTGTTTGCCACATGACACCTATGGAATGAAATATACTGTTGATTTACTACCATAAGAACTCAAGAAAAAAAAAATCAATTATAGGTGCTTAATTTCTTTTGTTTCCCTCCATTACAAAAACCTTTCAAAGAGCTTCAGCTCATTCCTAATCTTATTTTTAACTCCTATCAAATCTGTTACTAATTCAGGTTCTCCCCACTACAGGAATCCTCAACCACTTGTTGAAGATACCTTCTCACATTTCAAGCACATTTAGCTCCAACTTCTAGAAACTGATGTTTGTACTTTCCTAATGTAGTTTGGAAACAGATCTAACCCTTGAATGTAAGCCTCATGTACAAAATAGATCAGTATAAAAAAAAATATTTGTGTGCCAAATACCTCATAGGTGGTAACAGGCATAATTTTCTACATTGTTTTTTGCAGTACAAAAACATTTTCACACATATAGACATCAAAAAACAGCTGATAATAGTTTCTGAATGAATGCCGTAGACCAAACTAATTTCTAAAACAAAATGAGATTATCAGATTCCTTTTCCCTTTATGTGAGAGTTATGTGACATCAACTGACTCTTTCACATCAGCCACTCAACTCCTGGAACGCTTTCTTGAATCTAAAGATTTGGACTTCAGCAGTGATGCCTCTTCACTTTAGAAATGAAACACAGTAAACAATTTATCTTAAGAGCTTAAGGCTCTTTACCTGCTGGAGTTTTGCAGCCAAGGTAGCGGTAAGCAAAGAAAGCAAAAAATCCTAACAGTAGTTGGTCTCTTTTTAAAGGATGACTGAACTTAACTAGTAGGTACACCACAGATAAAATATTTGTGTATTATTTGATCTTCCTTGCTTGCAATTTCTTCATCACCACAGGTGGCATTACAACTTTTAACAAGTCATGCCTTACTTCATGCATCCAGGCTGTGTCATTTATTCATTGTTTCTATAGTATTTCTAAAATCCTCATCTGTTAAGACAGCACATACATTACACATTTTAAGCACTTTTCATTCCCCTGAGCACCATTACTCATGCATTCAAAAATGCAGGTGCTGGGACATTCTTCTGTGATCATCATTCAGGTACACCACTCCCCTTCACCACATTAAACGACTCCTTGCTTGTAAAGATTGCTGGAGTTTAACATCACCCCGCACCGCCTCGTGTTTTATCAAGCTGGTGTTTCCTGATTTCATTCTGCTAATGATCTCACTCTCGCTCCCTCACTTGGCACATATGTCCTTTTGCCTGCCTCCTGATTCTGCTTGAGAAATAGTACGGATAATTTACAGATGTATTATTGTACTCTGTTTTTAAAAAAAAAAAACAAACAAAAAACAACTCACACCTGGAGCAGCTTGGCTCTAGCTGGGAGTGTTTAACTACAGAAGGAAGCCAAGGTGACAATATGAAGAAAACACCGAGTGCACATGAACCCATAAGAAGATAAAGTTGATACAAAACCCAAGTTACCAGAACTTGAAGAGAACAATATGTATTTCTGCATCGGGGTGGGAGCCACCCAGCAAAAGGAACTGGAACTGCTTGTTTACAAATTCTGCTCTGGTTGTACAGAAAATTACTGGGGGATATGGCTGAAATTTTAAAATGACTTATTGTAACATTTTAGGAAAGTTCAGGAAGGCTAGAAAAAAAAAAAAAAAAAAGGCAAAACCACTTTGCAGAGAATTTCACTACCTCCTTCCAAATCATTGCCAACTCGACTTAACTTTAAAAAAAAAAAAAAAAATCAGCATGCTAACTTGTTACCTGTCAGTGTCAGGACAGATAAAGCACAAGAGGAGGAAACATTTAATGTGTACAACATACATTCAAAATATGCTTATCAGCTCCACAAGCACCTACCTACAAACCATAGAGTCATCATAGAGACTTGGATCTGAATTATGTATATTGAAGGCCCCCCTGCTCCCCCCCATCCCCCCCATCACTAAGCTTCTAAAATAGAGTGACAATTTTCTAACCCAGTTGCACGTCTTGATGAGATTCTATATAAACAGAGAAGAGTACAACTTAAGATCTCATTAATCCAGGAGGTATTCTGAAACACTGGTTAACATGAACTGACACGCCTCAGCTCCGCAAGTATGTAGAGGTAGGTACTACTTTTTAGAAGGAAAAAAAGGAAAAAAATTGGGAGAACAGGCAAAGATCTAGACCTTAATTATCAGGATAAAATTGTGCAGAAAATATATTTTATATAAAAAAAGATCAACTATTTGTATTCTCTCTTACATGTCATATCTCTCTTCTTTCTAACATGTGCCTGTGCATTGTGGCATAATCCAGCCTTGAATTCTTATTAGATCCCAAGTGTTACTACCCTAAAACCAGAGATTATACTCTTAGGCTTTTCTTTTCAGTAATACATAAGAAAGTCATTACTATATTTCTGTTAAAATGAGCATGTACATAAATACATGCACACATGCAAACCTGTCACTGTGACAAGAAAGTACATTTCCAAGTTTTGGCTTTACAACAGTTTCACTAGCATTCAAACCTATAAATAAAACTGTTAAGGAAAAATAAGAAGTTGAAAAGAAATTGAGAACTTTAGTACAAATTAAAAAAATCCAGTGAGATTCTGAAAAGCATCCAGGCACCCACCATGAACATGCAAAGATCTTTACTTTCCTTTCTAGAATCTAGAAGCTCTCAGCTTGTGTTTTTGGGGTTTTTTTTGGTTTTTTTTTTAATTTATTTTCTTGTAAAAAGCCATAGATTTTAAACTTAAAGACAGTACTTAGCAGAGAAGGCCTATATGTATTCTGATCTAGTACTACTCTTAATTTTGTTGAAATGATTGCTTACTCACAGGACAGCCAGCTAGCTACCTGTGAGTGCTGGTCAAAGTCTTCTATCTGTACAGTTACTTCCCGCTAACTACAGGTAGCTGTTTCCTGGCTAGAATAAACTCTTGCAATGGTAATTACAACTGCTCTTAATCTGGAAGCACTGAGAAACTGCCAACAGTCAGCATAATTTGACTTTATTATTGACTCTTGGGTTTTGTTTTTTTATAATCTGTTAATTGTGCAATTAATTAAACTATTAATACATTTATTTATTAGTATTTTTCTAGTTCACTGGTTATGATCCATGTTTTGATGAACAAATTCAATAATTTCAATTCAAATCGAATATAATCTGTGTTTAGTTAGAAGACGTCAGAAGACATCCAGACTTTGACTGAAAATGGAGAGAAGACGACCTAGCTTACATCTCGGGGCATTTTGCACCATTCACTCGCCTTATTAAAAATGTCTACAGTTAATTCCCGTTCAGCTTCTCGTCATTGGTTCTTCCATAAAGCAACTGTTAATCTGTTATGTATTTTTGGCCTACTAATTATTTACACTTCACTCAGTCCCCTAAAATGAAGGGGAGGAGTTCTTCAAGTGTTTTAATAACAATTGCTTCAGTGCCAGATTTCTTCTGTGACTTTTTTCATTCAAAATCACCAAACAAATCAACATGCTAATTCTGTGGACTGTCAATTAACCCTTTATTTCCCCTTCCCATTCTGTTTTATTTTCACTTCTGGCATACGAAGATGTCAAAGAAGATTTGTAGTCAGAGATTCCCTAAAAGCAATCCTTTTTTTAACAACTTCTTAAACAGGAAAATACAGTTTGAGAAATGTTGTCTACTCCTTATTTGTAAAAGTAATTATTTTTTGATAGCTTTTATAATTACTTTTTGCTTTTTAGAGTTGATTTTATTGATGTTTCCTTTAAGCCTCAATTGCATTGTAGCGCTTTCCATGAAGCAAACCCCCAAACCAAAATTATTCTTCATTTTTAAATGACCTACCCCCCGGTTTATCCACTGGCTAAAAAATAACTGTGCTAATTACTTTAGTAACATTCTCTCCATGTAAAGCAATATTAGCTCCTTTACAAAATGCATTCTGCTACTACTAATACTAACATGTATAAGTTCACCTATCTTAATTGTGAAAGCTTCCAGCAATGTTTTAAATCTAATTATACAGGCTTGCTCATAATGTGAAAGGAAAGACAAGTCTCATACTTACTGAGTTTGTGTTGCTGGCAAGGAACGTCTTATGATAGAATGAACTTGTCTGTAAACATCCAACTTCGACATGCATCGGCAGGACGTGTGATTGGCAAAACTGACGGTTACAGGTTTGGGGCCGTGAGAGAGAGGCACTGTGATCTCAAACAACTACAAAAGGGAAAGCAAAGCAAAGAACTTTTTTTATAGATCAGTATCAGTACAACTAAAAATAATATAAGGACATACAAAAAAAGCTATAAGGAATTTAAGTTTGGGTTTTTGTTCTCTACCATCATTCACTCAGTATTCAATTATACGGCTAAATAATCATTATGTGCAAAGTGAATACAATAGCTATGTCATTTTTAGTGTTAAACCCTGTTACGTGCCTGTTTGCTTACTATAACATTTAAACTAACCTTGTTAAAAGAGGAAAATGTACAAAGAACTCATTTTTCTAGAGGAAACGACTTCAAATTGGCAGCCTTTTAAAAAATCTAAAACATAACATTTGGAAAGTGCTTCAAAAAAGTTGGAAAACAAGAATAATTTAAAAAGGGGGTAAGCTACAACCTAACACACCAGTTGCACAATTACAAGAGCTTGTGTAAAACAGCAGTATATTGGACTTAGATCAAAACGTTTTTGGATGAAAAAGTTTTGAACCACAGCATATTGTATTTTTGACTTTCCAGTATTTGTATCAATGCAAATTATATGGTTACCCTAATGGAATGCATCATGAACTATTAAATTTTTTTCAGGATATTAAGAAATATTCACTATTAATAAAATAATCATGTATGTGAATTAATAAAATCCTAATTTTAGTGGGAAATGTAGTCTGACTAGTGGAAGAGGACAACTTCAGCGATACCTTGTGGAAAAACTGAACATGTGATAACAGACAACAGTGAGATTCATTTCAGTATTCAATTCAGGACATGCACTTTATCAAATTAAGGTTTCACTGTAACACTCAAATCTCAATAGTCTCCTGAAAAGTTAGGACAAAGTCTTAAAAACTACTTTTTGGTAGTATTTTTAATAGGATAATAGTGCACTGTTGCCTTTTAGGTGTTTAGTCAGTTTTCCAAATATGTTTAAGAATATTTCTGCATCTTCTGGGGACTTTACTACCTTTAAAAACATGGTCATTGGTTATTATTCCAGTTTCAGTTGATGAGACTGTATAACAAGACTTTAATTTTTAGCTGAAATCTATTTGAAATGCTTTTTTATAATCCATAACTTTATAGTGTAGTGTGTAGGGAGCATACAAATGTAATGAAAATACTGGCAATTTTAAATGATTCCGAATACAAAGTACATCTACAGGATGTCCTGAACACAGTACCTTGCACTGAGGTACGCAAGTGAGCCTGGGTACCGACAAGCATGCGGGTGCAGCAGTTGGGATGTATTCACCAAGTCCCCACAAGGTCAAAGGGCACTTGTGCAGCTGACAATAAAGCTCTTACTATTGATATACCTAACCTATGCAACTTAAACCTAAACTGCAGAAAGCATCATCAACCCTGATAGATATTATCTATTTTACAAAACAAATTTTGGCATTATTTAGTGACCAGATCTTTAAAACAGTTTAACATTAGGGGTTGTCATGATAGAAGAACTGAAATGTCAAAAGTATGATATTTGCATTTTATTCTGTTACAGAAGATTACAATGCTATTATTTTTGCTGCAAAAAGTACCACATCCCTTACATTAATTTTAAATGTGGGGTTTTTTTCCCACTAAAATCTAAAAATGCAAACTGGTATATGTTTATTTTTGTAGCGGGAAAACCAAAACAGAAAACAAGTTTCCTGCATCTTCCAAATACTGATGAAAAAAACTATCCATCTAGGGAGCTACCATAGAAAGAGCTTCTCTTGTTAGAGGCTTCTAGCCAAAGCGTATTAACATTTGGATTCTTGCTCCAGCTGCAAAATAAATAACACTTCTTAAAATTTTGGTCTTGAGTCATTAATAAGATAAGGGCACTAGCCCATGTTTAGTTTAAAGTTTGTTATCAATAAAATGAATGCCTAAATCAGTGTCTGCTTCTCTCAAACATAATTACCACCAGACATACCTCCAGGGTTTCCACTGAGTTCAACACAGACTTCTGGAAACAGACTTTCTAATCAACTTTTTATTATACTTCTAATGCTTTTTGGCTTCCAAACCAATATTGGCTCCTTTACCCTTATCTATTATAAAAGTTCCTTTAAATTAATCACAAAAGGCATTCTTATCAAGATGTCTCATCCAAAACGAGCAATAATCATAACACAGAGCTATCATTTTCATACTAATATTTTATATGAAAATAGCTTTTTGTACCGATTCATTTCTTCTTAAAATATCCGCCTGTTTGAAGGCCATCGTAGGTTTTGTTATAATGCACAATCTAACTAGGTAATTGGAGAGGAGGAAGGTGGTGGTGTAGAGACAGAAAGGACCATGTTTATGAAAAATAGCTTTCATTCCTGCATACAGTACACATTTGAGAAAACAGATGCTGAGCTCTTTGCGCATCTGTTTTTTAAATACTGATCTTTACACAGATGGCAAAACTCGCTTACATACGCGAGACTTGTATCTTTTTTTAAACAAGTTGTGCTTTCAGAAGGACAGCACAACTGTTGAGATGTCTGAAAATCTGGACAGCTAAGAATCTACAGATGTGAAAGCCTTTACTATGTTAAATATATTGTAAGAAAACTTATTCCTAAAACACACATATGAATTGAGTGACAAAACAAAAAGTATGGACTTAACTACAATATTACACATGTAGAGAGAACCTTCTGTTTTCTCTGCTCTCTTATGCCAGTATGAACTTGCTTTTCTGAAGCTGCAGTAAAAACCTGCTATAGGGAGAACTGATAAAACTTAGTAACTGAGGAGAAGCGTGATTCTTCGCACGGACCAAACTGTAGCTGACTAGAAAAAAGGGCATGTTCTCTTCTTCCTCTGTTCTTCGAGTAGATTGACTTGCCATACTGCAAAGTGTAGCAGACTCCAGACCGCTGGAGATGGCAGTGTAGCTGTAATTGCTACCATTCCAAACCACCCGAAGGAGATCCCTGTCAGCCCAACCGTCCTCCTGTTCGGCCTCAGGAGTACACCGAGAGAAATTTCACTAAAACGCTTGAGATGTACCAATCGTGAGCGGAAATGATGGTGAAAATGAATTATCTTAATCTACATTTACCCTTCCATTTAAACTGTGCAAGGTATCAGTTTACAGGTGAATATTGCTAACAACTATTCCCAGCAACACTTCAGTGGTGCAATGCAAAAAAAGCCTAGATAAACAATGGAAAGGTAGCCTAGCTTCCTTGACCTCATTGAATTACCTTCAGTTTGTTCAACTAAATTCTTTTAATAGCAATGTATTTTACATCACCCACTAGTAGCTACTGTTTATACATAAAGTAAAAAACCAAAGCCAACTATTTATGTTCCAGATTCTATTAAATTATGTTATATTATATTAGGTATTACATTTCTAGTCCTCACTTTTGGAAAGGGCTTAAAATTATACATGAACTAGCATTTTGAAAAAGAATATAAACCAGATCTATTTTCCTTAATGGAAATGATGGAAGTGAAATATTGGGGTTGGAATTATTGATTTGTTCTTCCTACACTTTTTATTTGTCTGCACATGCTATTAGGATACTATATTCTGATGCATACTGAAAAAGGAGATCTTTATTCTTCTGAGAATATATCAAGAAAAAATTTCACACGAAATAAATTCTTGCAAAGCAGTCTGTTACAGAAAATGTATTTAATACTCAGAATAATCCTGTTTAAATAATCTCTGGCATTTTGAACTAAGATTCATTCTAAAGAAAATCTACATTCTGCTCTCAGCTGTGATAGCAACATCTCTAAATCCGATGAAGCTATTTAAGTGTAAGTAAGTGAATGAACTCTCAATACACATAAGATGGGTTTAAATTATCATCTTAATAAATCATTTCAAATTAGGTAAGATCTGACCTTCTAGAATGCTTTCTGGTTTTGTTAGCATCTGCAATTTATTTCTTGCTCATCTGTTGTCACTACAGGGCATGTTTGGCAACATATAACAGCCAAACGTCAATATCTAGAACAGAAATGTCTATGAGAAATGAACCATAACATCTGTGTATGAGGCTGGTTCTTGACTCCCTTCTTTTCTGGCAACATTGCTGGTTGTGGGTACCATTGCTGGTACCCACAATGCCCACGTAGGTACCTCTTCTTGGAGATCAGATAGCTTATATTTCTGTCTCATCCCTCATTCAGTAAAGGATTGGTTTTACTGTATTCTTAGAGGCCCAAATCTTCTCTCCCTTCCCAACTTCAAGTCATAGTAAAAATTGGAGTAATTCATGCTACAGGCAATAGGGAAAAGACATTTCCTTCAGGGCTGTTCAAGGGCCAAGGCCTAAAGACAGACACTCAGGACCAAAGACTGCAAAGAACAAGCTCCAGTCCCCAGAACACCACGAGATCTGACAGTAGTAGGGATTAGGGAAGTTTTTTCAGAAAAGAGCTTTTGTTGTTTGCACTTTTGAGAAAAATGTTAGTAATTATAGTACATTAAACAGCAAATTAACATACATTAAATGAGCATTGCTAGTTAGAGGCAAATACTCAAAGGTTGAAAGAAAAAATTAGATTCAACTTGCCCATGCTGTCCTGTAGGTTTGTGCTACCAACACTGCATTGAGGTCAGGAAACTAGTGGAAAACAACAACTAAAGCAATATGAGATATGTATAATACTCTTTAGTAATCCTAACAAAACAACAACTCGTGCCCTCCAAATTACCAAGCTCTGTCCTAACCTCTTCCATATGAGCTAATATCATAAACACGTCAGTTACATACTATTAATCGCAGTGTAAAACACATACTAATGAAAGCTCTACATAACTGAAGAACAGTTGAAAAACATACGTAGTTAATGCGTTTCACAAGAACTTAACATGTGCCATTCAGCCAGTCTAAGGCTGTTTTGTCACAGAAACCCAGCTTGCAGGTCTTCCATTTCTCACCATTTCTAATATTTCTTTTTAAAGCACTGTGTTCAGCCCTTATCTCCTTAGATCCTCACCCAATATGACGATTCTCCATGCCAACCTTGCCTTATTTCAGCCCA